GCTTGTCGTAAGAGACGACTAACGGATCAGGTCAGACTCGCTGCCTTGGTTGATCCATGTCATCGTATCCCAAATGGTTAGATCGATGTTCATGATGTCAATCTCTGGCCTGTCTAGTCTACACTCGGTTATTTACAGATCGCCCTCATATACTTGGCATGATCGCTGCGTTAAACAACAAAGTAACGAACCAAATACTTCCATTTGACCCCGTGAGTGTTTAATCTCTATGTAAATACATAACGCCGACGGTGACCAGTGTCAATGGTCTACCGGAGGAGATCCAAGGTAGCCGGAAACACAGACGTGTATCTATGTGAAAGGGTCATTGAGACCAGCGAGGACGCCACATGAAGCCCTTCATACAACACAACTTACAATTACAACAACACGACCAACAGGATCTTCCGCATTGTATCTTTAGAAGTCCAACAGTACATCAACAATATCTAGTTATTCATTGACTGATGTTCCATACATGTTATTGGTCTGTTCCTGGTTTGTGACATATTTCGACATGATTAATTTTGTTACCCCAAACAACGAAATTTATATACAAAGCATCTGGGCCAGAGAATACCGAGTTGCGGTTATGCGAGGAAGCAGAATCCAATGGTCCTAGAAGGTAATTTGGCGGTGCCAATTTTGTGAAAGGAAATCAGTTAATAAACCAGGAGTTCGCGAAAAGAGTAAGATTTACCTGCCTCAACGGGGGGTCGCGCCACTTGTGCTGACATCGCACACGAGTACACCTTCGATGCGACGGCGACATGTAAACATATCCCACAATCACGTCACCAGAACACCAGCCACGGGTACCGAAATTACTGATTTTGATGAACGTGAAAAAGCCAAATGAGAGTAAGCTGTCAGTCTCATTGAAGCATAGCATTCATAGGACATGTTGCTGAAATCGATCTCAGTTATTGGCTCTGTCGGATTCAACAACCGGGGTTGATATCGAAATCTCTGCAGTGGTCATGGATCTAAATTGACGTTCATCCACTGATCTAGTGCAGCTATATACAGGAGGGCACAGGCTAAGGCACCACCACATTACGACTGATAGCAGGGGTATCACGGTACCATAGACACAACAGGGGTACCACGGTACCACGAACCATGTCAGTGTTATCAAAACCGAAAGACATGAAAGCACTATTGCAAACACTGCACTTGACCACCTTACACATAGACACCACGGTACAACGAACTACATTGGCGGATCCAAGGGTGGAAGTGGGGTGGGTTCTGGGGGTTCGAACCCCGCCTTTTGAAAATGACTAAAGACTAATTGAACTTATTTTGCATTGGCGGAGCCAAGGGGATTTGAAGGTGTTCGAACCCCACGTCCACCCCACCCCTACCCCTTTGAAAATTCCTGGATCCGCCTATGAACTATGTCAGCGTTATCAATGCGGAAAGACATGGAAGCACTATTGCAAACACTGCACATGACCATCTTAGACATAGGTACCATGGTATAACAAATAATGTCAGCGTTATCAAAATGGAAAGACATGGAAGCTCTATGGCAGCATAGCTTGTGGTCACTAAACACATAGATACCAAGGAACTACGTACCCAGCAAGCATTTTCAAACATGGAAACACGATGGCACCATCACATTGTGAAGAATCCTCTGATCCTTGGTTGGAATCACTGGTATCATACCATACCATGCCGGTAACTTCCCCAAATGGTAAACGTGTACGACATGAGACATTTCGGATTTTAACCCCCCATTAGGCATAGTCATTATACTCTTAATCTGCTTTAGCTAATTCTAGCCACCTCACGGCGGGGTATGAAATGGCCTTCACATATATGGGACAAATCGATCCCGAACGGCTAGACTATGCTGAAAGGTGATGCTAAAACGGTTGTTAAAAACAACCAACAAACCCCTGCCACGATATCAAAGGTGGGAACGTATTACAACGACAGCATCTTCACAGGCGGGACATTTTGGGGTGTTTTAAGATGAATTAAGAGCAAACATAACAAAATATAATCGATACAAATATTACTTAAAGCTCTGACAAGACATCTCATGCATTCATTAAAGTAGGGTTTTACATTCGTGTAGACGGGCTCTGTTTCGATGGTTGGGGATGGGTTGTTGTTTAACAACAATATTCCAGCTATATGGCGGCGGTCTGTAAATAATTGTGTCTGGACCAGACAATCCACTGATCAACAACATGAGCATCGTTCTACTCAATTCAGCAAGCCTCACCAACGGATCCCGTTAGTCACCTCTTGCCACAAGCAAGGGTTGCTGAAGATCAATTCTAACCCGGATCTTCACGTGGTCCTTTTATGCGTTTTGTCGAAATGAATTTTCTTGATTCACTACAGTGTTCGCAGCTCGTGTTTAACTTCCAGTGTCTCTTGACTAAAGTTGGATGTTTGTTTTCACGTACTTCGTGCTCAAATACCAGCTCCCTGGCGTCTGTGGGGGAGGCAGGCATGTGCACATATAAACGTTCAGGCTTTGTCAATATACATGCGTAATCAGTCCAAGTAGCTGGCATCCATATATCAGTTAGTGAAAGAATAGTCTCATGTCATGAATCATACCTGACACGGATTAGCAACACGAGTGCTTGTATTTGTAATGTATCTGAAGATGAGTTTTTTCCGTAGGGTACACTGAAATGTCTTTGTGATTTTCCGTAACCCCCGACGGTCGTGTCAGTTGAAGAGCGTGTCAGTGAGGACGTAAGTAGCCAGTTCTTGCAACGTCGTCATATTTTGATTGAGTTCGATGTCAAGTTGTCGTGCCCTCACTTTAAGAGTAACATCGCCAGTAACCCTCACATTGTATGAGAGAGATTAACGCCGCGAGTATGGTAATAACATTTGATTAAACGAAAGGAAAACAACTGATGGAGGTGTTTTGGAACATTTGTCATATTCCCCATTCTGCTTGTAGTGATAGGTTAGAGGATTGGTCTTAGTCACATGCTGTGTCCTCCAAATCAAGGGGAATAGTCCAGTGACAAGAGTGCTTAGTCTGTGTAATAACCCTGACACCATCAGAGGGGCGGTGGGGTAGCCTAGTGGTTGAAGCGTTGGCTCGTCAAGCCGAAGACTCGCTTTCGATTCCCCACATGGGTACAATGTTGTACCTGAGTTGTGTGAAAAAAAAAAAAAAACCTTGGCGAGATGAACGCGCTGTCCATTGCTACTTTAGAAGACATGTTGCCCTTCCCATACTACCAGCTGCCTACACGAAGATGCCAGGGTCGATGTTATGAATGCTATTCACCAGCTTAAACAATTCAAACACGACATGGTCACCATCTGGGGGAGTACGATGCTGAATCCATCCACTCTAGAGCCACCAGTTCACCTTTGGTCAGTTACCATGGGGGTATTATGGGGGCTTATCGTATAGGTAACGGGTCTCCCTACCACCACCCCAACATCTGTAGATCTAGCATTATCGAGGCAGTTTGGATGAGACGTGGGGATTTCGGTGCAGCGCCTCTCTCAAGAAAATGTATGTTCACAGAAGGAGATAACCGTTGGCTGAGCCTGAAGCATCCCCCCCAGCAAGAACTCAAATTGCCCATTCAGGAAGGTGATGAAGATGGGCTTCTGTTGAATCTCGGTGTAACTGACACGATGTCCATTTGTGTGTAAATATTAGTGCTTAGATCATTTGCTGAAAGAGCTGAAATTGGTCGATATCTCTTCAGTCTGACTATCATGAACCATGTGAATGAATATTAACATTAGAAGGACAAACTGTTGGCAGTTACAGTCCAAGTACAAACGTTGTAATGTGTAAACTGTTGACGTTGGTTGAGGAACATGTTTATGCCAGCTACAGTTGCATATTTAAACGAAATGATTTCAAGACTTAAAGTTATATTTTCAACGAGTACAGTTGATCACCACATAAGAGGTGAGAGATAGACATATATTGGTGTGATCAATCATTGCATTTGTACCTGTACCAGTACGATATATGAGAGAAAGCCCATGCAGGTAGTAGATATTCATCACTTACATGTGATGCTGATAGACCAACTATCCCAATCAGGACAATACGTCTACACTTGACAGGTAAGGGTCCTACAGAGAGGACATGGTCTTAGGACTATAGTACCTCCGTCTATACAGGTATAGCAGGTACGTATGTGCTCCTGCAAAATGATGACAGTATACATAGTACAAGCATCCAGAAAGAATTACATATCTGTGATCGGATCTCAGTTCAACGGTTGGGATTCACGTCGAGGAACCCCGGTCGTGTACTGATGCACTCTGTGAGTTTGTCTGATACATTATAGACACGTCTATATTCAAATCAGACATTTCCATTATGTATATAGTTTCATTACGCTTCTGACATTTAACAGCAACATGACAAAGTTGACATTCATGCTGGACTATGTAGTAGGTTTACCAGTATAATACACAATACATATATGGCTGACATTCCAGCATATACCAATGTCATATCGACGGAGATAATGTAGAAAACCCGCTTCTTATAATGCTTAAAAATGTTAAGGTCCAATCTTTAGAAATATAATATGAAAGATTGCATGAAAAATGATTATTTATTTATTTATTTATTTATGTATTTATGTATTTATGTTATGTATTTATTTATTTATTTATTTACTGGATGGAGGGGGACTGACAGTAAAATACTTAACGAGTCTAAACGTTTATCTCTTATGGTCGTCATACAATTAACAGCGTGTCAACTTAAACCATGAGGCATCATACGCTCTACCCACAGAGAAGGAAGGGAGAAACTTGCAGATTGACTACATTATCTACAGTGTGTTGTAATATTTGAGGTCAGTATTTACCACAAAAATAAGAGACAACTTTTAGATTCTCTTCTGTAACATTGAAAATTCCTATTGACAGTGATCATATCAAAGTCCACAAACTGCACGCGCCAGAGGTATTGTCTTGGAGCCACCCAGGCCGACCTTTGCGGTGATAGTAAGGGGGTCGGAATTGGGATCAAGTATGTTATCACACTCATTAACGATAGGAAGGTTGTCATAACTGCGGGCGGGGCGTACCCCCGCGGGACTGGGTTACCTCTGTGATGCTGGGAACTGTTCCATCAGGTGCTTGCTATTAGGACACTGACGTAATGGACACAATCTGAAATTACGGGTGACCGATTTGTCAGGAGCACGCCATTCGCTTTACAAACGTAAAAAATGGGAAGACATTTTTTTGTAAACATAACATTCAGTTACCTGTATGTACAAAAGTGAGTGAGTGAGTTTAGTTTTACGCTGCTTTTAGCAATATTTCAACAATATCGCGGCGGGGGACACCAGAAATGGGCTTCACACACTGTACCCAGTATGTACAAAAGATTGATGTTAGCTGTGAATACAAATTGATTTACCTAAGCCATAACGTCACTGTTTATGGTATTTTAGTTGGGTTATTTTTGGTTTGTTTGTTTGTTTGTTTGTTTGTTTTTTAGGAGTTTTGTTTTTGTTTGCTTGTTTTAAATTAAGGGCCCCAAATTTGCCGACACCTTATTTGTGAAAGGGAATTGATAAACTGTAAATTGTAAATGTTTTTCTTGTTTGTTTGTAGTAGAATATCAATTCTAATGATAGCTTGTTTTCATTCACCTAATCATAACTTTAAGTGCGGTTTGAGCAATTCCAGTTGCCAGCCCTGTGATCTCTCGACAAAGATTTATCATCAAGGATGTACCTGCCAATAGGTGTACAACCGAAGTATGTTTTCATCAGAATCAGCAATTTATGCAAGCCTTTGGCATGTTGCCTATTTGAAGTCTGAATCTTAACACTGAAGACATCATGGGTGGCTTTACCAAGAATAACTGTATTCCGTGGAAATAAATCAAAGCCTTAGACAGAAAGGCCATAAACTATAGATTCTGAAGTCCATTCTTAACTGAAGACCATAAAGGAGACCACGACGTGAGTCATATGTTGACGTCCCCACGCGGGTTCATGTCGGTATGAAGTATATTTTAAAAGATATCGAAGAGTACTAAATCATTAATAAATCCCGGCCATGGCGATACATATATATTGCTCATCCTGGACTTGAGGGAAGGCATTGTATATTGGTCAATCGGAAAGATATAAAAGCTATTCTCGTCACAGCTATCCATCATCCCTTCTCACGGTGTCGGAAAGGCGTCTGTTGCACATGAATTGCCCCTCCGGAGATGAAACGTACATGTTCGACATGAATACGATGCTGGTATAAAGATTCGTATCATAAAAATTAAAACATCCTCAGTTATTTGTCCGTTGTGCCCATGTCATTATCAGATGTGAGGGAAGATTTCCTCACTTCAAAGGAGGTTTGCCTGGTAAACATGACATGGCACGATGTTGGCCCACACACGCCTCGCCACAACCACCACGTGTGAATAAGATGTCACACTAAAATTACCCCCGAAGTATCAGTGATGTTTATTTGATATGGTCTGTGTTGTGTCACACCAAAATGACATTTTTGCATGTTTTAAAACATGGAAAAGCAATGTGTTTTCACAATTTGATATATTTGAATTATAGGGCAGGAGTCACCATTCGTCCAAGGTGCTGCAATTCGCTGTTCTCAGTTACGTCCCTTAGCTGCAGCAGAACCCTACAATTGTGGGTTCGGATCCAATAGTTGTCCTGATTGTTATTCTTGATTATCACATCTGTACTTGCAGATTTCACCATAGTGGCAGACCTGAACCTTGTTGTTCTACTACATGAAGCTGGCATGTTGTCACGAAACTGAGCTAGTGCTGTGCTGTACTGATGTAATATTGACTGGAGTATGTTCTATTGTCAACATATATTTTGAATGGCAGGACACGTATGTCTTCACTCACTGTCAAGAGGCAAGAGCAGATCGATATAAACCTGTGTCTAAGCATACCAAAGGGTTTAGTGAGTATGTTTGTTAAAATGATCAGCAAATCGAACACCAGACGATCTGACCTGCGCGGGGCGTTGGGTGTCGAGAACACGATTAATCACGACATACCAAATTTCCAGTTGAGTGAAAGAAAAGGGTTTCCTATAGGTAGAATGAGACGATGGACACATATAAATTGGTTCGGTTTGATTTACAGTCATAACTAATTGCAAAGTAATAAAATTGCTTCCTTTAGGAAATGGATATCAACAAAAAATATTTCAGTGAGTGAGTTGGGTTTTACGTCGCTTTCAACAATATTACAGCAATATCACGGCGGAGGACACCAGAAGTTAGCTTCACACATCGTCCTAATCACACATTTACGATTGTAGGGAATGGAACCAGGATCATCGGCATGACAAACGCTTGAACCACTACCCCACCGCCCCCGAAAATAGTTTAAGTTGTCTAAATGTTTACCTAATAGACAAAGATTACATGTGCACAGCCACGTCTACAGGCAAGCTGGAGAGGTAACATCTCTAAACAAGACATCCCAAGTTTTTACAACACTTTACATGTCAGCTGCACCCTCGACAAGCCTATTTCGTGACCTGGGTATTTTCAGCGCATCTCTTTGTTAAAACCCTGTGTCCTCACCCGTCTCACCCGTTACATCTCAGCAAGCTGGGTCACTGACCGGATGCTGGACACACGTATCTCTAGTTACACCAACAACTCAAGCAGTCTAGCTACGTAGTAAGACTGGAAACCAACACACCGACTATAAGCAAACAGCGAGAATCGGTACTTACAAGTTCCTTGCCCGGGGAAGAATGTTATCGATCCGTGTTGGCGATCTCGCTATGTATTTTCTGTGTTCGCCTGACCGTTTGTCGTTCCACAACTGAAGTGTTACATAAATCTTAGTCATGCTTAGCACCCTGTGTGGCCTTTCAACATCCTTGATATCTTCCTTAAAATGTCAGCTGCTAAACGTCAACAATGTCTTACACCCATGCAACATTCGCCTCCGACTTTGAACATCTCGCGGAAGACTTAGCACGAGGACAAGACGAGCTGCTTTGTAACTGAAAAGGCATACAAAGAGAGACGCGTCTAGGACAATTCCTACCTGGTTTAATAAATCGGCTATTGTCCTATAGGAAGTGAGTGTTCGTAAAGGTGAATATTTCAACGTACATGACATTTAATCTTTTAACCTTCTGTTTAACACACGCTGAGTGTATGAATGTCATCACATCTCTGTTGCCGCTGTAAGCACATTGTATGTCGGATGTCTGGGTACCCTGCTATCAATAAAGGCCAAATGGACGCTTGGTACATCGTGGGTACCATGCCGTCACTATGTGGATGACAGCTGGGTATCTGGGCTACATAGGTAATGTGTACGTCGGGTATCTGGGTATAATACTATTATTATCCATCCGTACGCCTCCCACAGACACACACACACACACACACACTCTCTCTCTCTCTCTCTCTCTCTCTCTCTCTCTCAATCCGTTTGCCTTTCTCTGTCGCTGTTTTTGTCTGTCCTACTGTCTGTCTGACTGTCTGTTAGTCTGTCTGTCTGTCTGTCTGTCTACCTCCCTCCTACATGCATACAGGTTAACTGTTGCACAGATCATTTGGTTGACAAATGTTTGGGATAGTGCCGTAACATGGACTTGGATGATCAGACATCAAGGTCACAAGGTCACAAAATACCGTGTATGACCGCCATTTGCATTTACCACTGCGGCACAACGCCTGTACATGGAATGCACCAAATTGTTGGTAACGTTCAGTGGGATGTTGGTAACTGTCTGTAGCACTGCTGCTCATGGTTCAACAGCATTTGTTGGCCTTGGACGAACTTGGTTTAATCGTCTTTGAGTTTCGTCCCACAAATGTTCAGTTGGGTTTAGTCGGGACTCATGGATAGCCAGGGCAGAACAGCAATGTTGTGATGTTGCAGATGTTGTTGTGTTACCCTGTGGTTCTGATGTCTGGCAAAAAATGGCACAACATGGGGTTGGAGAGCCTGATCAATGTGCCGCTGAGCATTTACATCATTCCCCCTTCCAGGACCAATATTCTGAAACACAACTGGTCCTAGTCTCTGGTTGTAGCCAATACCTGCCATTACACATGGGCCGCCAAATCCGTTCCTTTCCATCACACTCTCATCAGCATAACAATGACCTCGTCTTTGCCATATCCTGACACGTCCGTCAGCATGGGGAAGACAAAATCGACTCTCGTCTGAGAAGCTCACACGGTTCCACTGTCTGTGACGCCAGTTCAGATGCTGTGTTGCCCACGGAAGATGAACCTGACAGTGACGTGGGGTCACGAAGCTGGGCGGCAATATTTCAGGTTGTTGACCTTCAGTCGACGTCGTACGGTACGGCCATTAAAGGTTATTGGTGAGCTCCAATGGTCCTTTGTGCTGTTTCACTGGCACAGAGAAATGAATCTGCCTGATGTTGACGACAGAAGAACCGGTCTTGTCTGGGCGTGGTCACTTTTGGCTTACCACTTCTTGGACGGTCAGCTGTGGTCTGCGTGGCTGCATAACGAAGTTTAAGGAGATAAATGGTCGTAACATGGACGTTAAAAGTACGGGCAACGTCATCCGCACTTTGGCCTGCATTTAGTCTACCAATAGCTTGATCCCTTTGACATGCATTTAATCTTGGCATCTTGAAGTCAGCTATCGAATAGTGACAGAGACCAACAATCTGCACCATTGTATAGCCATTTCAGTCAGCAAATGCACGTGCATGTTCATTTCACCTTGAAACTTCGATTTCTCCGTACCATGGTGTGTTTTAGCGATATGTTTTAAAAGTGACTAGCAACCTTAAATGAGGCAACATTAATGGAACAATTCATAAAATTAAACGTTTAAGCCCAGGAAATGTATTCGCAATGTTTACTTCATACTAAATATCTCAGACTGAAGTTTGACAATTTCCTTTAAAACATTGCGTTTCTTTTGCCTTTCAGTATAGGAAACATTACACACTTCGCTGTCGAATAACACACTACCGTGCAGCAGATATAGGAATTAACAATTCCTATTATGTATATCGTTATCGTCGTGATTGATATC